TTATTATAAGTTGAGATAGTTTTATTTTGTAGGTAGTCAAACTAAATAAAAAATAAGGTATTTAATATTGATTTCTAGGCCCCAACTAGGCGCCGCCTAGGCCCCGCCTAGGCGCTCTAGGCGCTAGGCGCTGGTCGAGCGCCTAGCGAGCGCCTAGCGACTTTTAGAACACTGCTTTCAACTCTCAATTTAAACTCCCAGCAGCAAATAAATCATGTTGATCTCCTCCAGCTCTTTGTTCCCTTCTCCCATTCAAACGTTCTCAATCAGAATGACATTGAATTATTTTCTCCTCCGCAAAAACTCACGGTCCAAGCTTCTTTATTTTTAAAAGATTAATTCATTCCTAAGTAAGGCCTAATGAACCAAATCGAGAGTCCAACTCCCATAAAAATGTCCCAAAGAAAATAAGGGTCCACCCAATCACAACCTTCCTTTGCCAAGTCAATCTCCCCACCTTTTAATAGTGTTATATATTTTACTGTATTAATATATTTTGTTGTATTAATATGTTAGAATTGTATTTTTACTATGATAGCCTTAGTTGTTATATTGTAAGCTGAAAGTTGCTATTTGTTCCTAGCAACTCTAGGCATAGTATATTTAGTATAAATAGTCTCATAAGACCGTGTAACCCTAATCTCTTCAATACAATTTTTCTATTCATCGTTTCAACTCTTTCGCCTCTCTTTTACCTTTCTCTCTCGCTCAATCCATCTTTCTATGCTTAGATTATGGTGTCATTCACTGGAACGATCCCCACGTTCTACTGCTTCCGCTGATCTCTTTGAATCTCTTTTTTATTTAGATCGCATGTTTGTTCTCTGAACAAAACCCTGAATCTATTTGTTTTTTGCGTTGTTCCTTGGTGGATCATCTCATCCATGGTGCTTAATTCTTCTGACGATCCTCCATCGGTGTTCTATCTCCACGCTGCCGACAATCCAGGAGCGCTCATAGTCGCAGATCCATTCAGTGGTGACAATTACACATCCCGGAGTCGAGCAGTTGTCATGGCTTTGAGCGTGAAGAACAAAGTCGGCCTCATCGACGGTACAATTGCAACACCATCTTCTACTGGTAACCCTACACTTTACTTAGCCTGGATGCGAGCGAACAATCTTGTTTTCTCTTGGTTACTAAATTCGATTTCTAAAGAAATTCGCCAGTCTTTACTATTTTTCACAACTGCAAAAGATGTATGGGATGAACTTAGGACTAGGTATGCTTTGAGTAGCGGTACTAGGGTTTTTCAGTTGAAAAAATCATTGAGTACGATTGATCAGGGTTCCATGAGTATTACTCAATATTACAATGTTTTTAAGTCCCTCTGGGATGAATATGCGATTTATCGTCCTCTTTTCAAATGTAATTGTGGTGCTTTCTTCACTGTACATGTGATTTGTTTGACGCAATTGCTACAACTCAGCAAAATGACTCAGTAATGAAATTTTTAGTCGGCTTACATGACTCTTATTCCTCTTTGAGAAGCCATTTTCTGCTGACCACACCACTTCCATCCATGTCTACTGTTTATTCTCTATTACTCCAACAAGAGAGCCAATGATCACTTACAAATACATGTGGCCAAATCAAAACCTCCTTATACAAAAACCTACTACTCCAATCAATCCACAAACATCAGAAACCCAAATCCTAACACAAACACCAACCAAGACCAAAATGTATTCACTGTGGATATAACCACCACTTTGACCGTTGTTACTAAGTCATAGACTATCCACCTAACTGGGAAGGCCCAAGAGGTCCTAGAATTCACCCCAATCATTCTGCTCATGCTGTCATTGCCGAAAACACAACCACATCACACACCACCATGGATACTGATTCTGATATAGCCATACTATCGTGCCACGGTTCAGTAACCGCGGCATGGTCACAATCGG